ACCCAGAGGAGACACATTTTTATATCTGCACAGGCTACGGCTGCTTCCTGTGGAGTCAACAAAGAACAAACTAATGAAATTTAATGTTGGTCTCCTTTTACCCAGGACACAATTCATAATCAAATGTCACCCTCTGTCCCCAACAGTCCTTTGTTCTCTAATCTGGGGTCCAATCCCAGTTTCGCATTGCAATCCTGCTCCTACCTGAACTGTCTTCAGCAACAAAGGCATGTTCTGCAGATGTTCACTACACCGAGCTAAGATATGGTAGCCCTGTGTGGACCGGACTGACCTTGAATCCCCTCCATCCTCCTGCCTTAGTCTTCTGAGGACAATGAGAACCATGTACTACCACACCTGGACAATGAGAACCATGTACCACCATACCTGGCTTCTGTCCTTTCTGTTGTTTACATATGATGTTTTGAGAAGAGAGCCCCAAACCACCCAGATATTAGGCAAGCCAGCCCCCAGCCCCTCACTGGAGGGGGGTTCTAGGAGGGGCTCCACCCTGACCACGCCCCCAGGCCTTCACTGGAGGAGAATTCTAGGAGGAAACACCACTCTTGAGCTGGACAGAGCAGTGAGCCTCACCTTACTGCTGCTGTGTACAGTGGTTGTTAAGTGTTCATGGAATTAGTAGAAATAAGCCAGGAGAAAATTAGATACACTTCTACTCCTTGATTGTGATGGTTATCCTGCTCATGCTTAGTTAACTCCTGTTCAGAGACACAAGCAGACATCCACATAAGTGTCCCTGTTTCCCGGCATCTGGGTTGGCCTAAGTAAGCTGGAAAGCAGGAAGGGACTAGAAGGACACTGGGATTAAGAGCCATCTCAGCCCTCACCTGCCCAGGCCTGACAGCAGCTGCAGGGACAGGAAACTTGCACATTTGTGGGGCTAGTGAACCTGATCTCAAAGAGGTCTAGACTGAAGCCTGTGACCACTCGTGCCCTCTCCACTCTTGGTCATGTGACTTTTGCATGTTTAGCTTCTCAGGGATGGCTACATCATCATTCTTCCACAGTACTTCCCAGAGACCAAGGACCCTTTGTCAAGCGGGGCTCAAACCCCAAGGGACTCTGTATTATGACTGGGGATGCATGTGACTGGCACAATGAGCAGAATTCCTAGCACTCGGTGGATGAACAGCAGGTTCCATGCTCAACACCTTGCAGGATGCCCTCACATCAAAGGCCTTATTGTCCTTAACGTTAGAGTGGAGGCTGAGTCATGTTGAGCTGATACAGAAGATTTAGACAACAGCGCGTGTGCATCATATGGGGCAACCCAGCACTCACCGTGCATCCTGTGTGGTAGCCTCGGAATTCTCATCGCTCCCTTAGTTCAAGTCTAGGATCTGAGTACAGCATGGTCAGGGCTGGAGCCCCGCCTAGAATCCCCAGTGAGGGGCTAGGGGCGTGGTAGGGTGGAGACCCGCCTAGAATCCAGTGAGGGTGGGGGCGTGGTCAGGTTGGAACCCCACCTAGAACCCTCTCTGAGGGGTATGAGGGTGTACCTTACTGATTAGCACTTTCTGAGCATGTTCACGGGCTTAGTTTCCATTCTCAGGGCTATTAAAATGAAAAAGAATTAAAAATCTCTTAGCATACCCTTACTTCCATCACTCAAGAGGTGGAAACAGATCTCTGAGTTCTAGGCCAACCACACCTATACTGTGAGACACTGACTCAAAAATAGCAAACTTCCTATTCCACGTTGAAGAGCAGAAAAAGGAGCACCAGTTCCCCATCAAGGGCCTAGCCAAGAAAACATCAGAGTGTGTCCGAGTCAGTGTCTGAGTCTCCCTTCACCCCTAAGAAAACGCTCCAGTCTCCTTTGCCTGGGCAACTGAGTTACGGTCTCTGGGGTTTAGGGGATGTAGGGTCTGAGACCATCAGCAGGGCAACCCTGTTGGCCTCTGGTGGGAGGACAGCCTGAGTGTCGTCTTGGGTGGTGTGGGGCTTCTCCTGAGTCAGTCTGCCCATTAATTCCTCCCTGCCAGGCAGGGTCAGGTGTCAGGGGGCCCCAGGCAGATGTTGAGCTGAGCAGTTCTGTTCCCCTTAATCCTCAGGAGCTGTAGGAACTGTCCCTTCAAGCAGGAACAGCAGGCCGACTAAGGCCACCATCTGTGCAGACCTGAGTTTAAACGTGCCTGGGCTGGGGGGGCGGGAGGGGTGGGGCAGAGATCGCCATGGCAACACTGAGTAAGGGGCTGCAGGTGCGTGGGTGTTCGCATGCTTGGCAGGGCAGGCAGGGGAGCACAGCCAAGCATGATGCTTCTGATCTTCTCCTTTTTCTTCAACTTCTTCCTCCTTCTCCTCCTGCTCTGCCCCTTCTTCCTCTTCCTCCTCCTCCTCTTATTCAATATGTCTTGTTGCCTTTTGGCATTTAAAGAAAATTTAGTTTTTTGTTTTTAACTATTCTGTTTAGTAGCTCAAGCTGACCTCAGATTCAGTGTGCAGGAAAGGTTAACCTTGAGTTCAGAGCCCCCTGCTTACTACCAGAATGGGCTACCCACTGAGTCTCAGCTACATTCTCTGCTAGCTTCCAGCCCCCGCCCCTTTTTTTAAAGATGGTCTCTAAAATTCTTTACTGTTGGATAGTTTCAGGCTTCCAAAAATCCTCCTGCCTCAGCTTCCTAAGTGTGAGCATGACTGGCCTCAGATAGTACATCAGTTTTAGCAAGTGCTCATAACTGCAGTCTCATGTGGGTGAGGGTGGGGGATTATCAAAACTCTTCATTCCCTTGTGTCTGCCCACACCCACACTTTTCATGACCTGGCTCTCCAAGAGGGAGAAAGTAGATCCATGGGCCTTTACTTTTCTGAGTTTCCTAGGACATAAGAGCAGAGCCTACATCAGCCAGAGAGAGAACTGGGAGGAAACTAAGACTGGCTGGAGCTGGGAGTGGCAGCTCACACCTGTCATCCCAGCATTTGGAAAGCTGAGGCAGGAGGATTTCAATATGAGTCTACCCTGGCTACAAAGCCAAGGCCCTACATCAAAGAGTTAAATCCAGCACTGGGGAGGAGCTTCACTCATGAAGCTCTTGCTGTGTGGGCAAAGGACTGAGTTTCTTCCCCAGCACCCGGCAGAAGCCAGGCAGGGCTGTGCCTGCTGCAATCCCTGTGCATTGCTGAGATAGACCTTGCTGGCCACACAACCTAGTGGCAAGCAGCAGCCCCAGCTACAGTGAGAGACCCTGTCTCAAAATATAAACTGGAGAACTATTGAGGAGAGCCCAGATGTCAGCCTCCAGACTCCACTGCCTGTGTGTGTGTAGAGTCCTGCATACACACATGCACACACACACTTGGGAGGGAGAGGCAGGAGGATCTCCAAGTTTGAGGCAGCATAGTCTACAGAGTGAGTTCCAGGATGGTCAGGATTACACAGAGAAACCTGTGTCAAAAGAAAAGAAACAAATGATTACAAAGAAAAGGAGTGGAAATGCATCTATTCAGAAGCATATGTGTGAATATTTATGTATATTTCCTTCATGATATCCAAACTCAAAGTCTAGGAAACTTTTGTTGTTGTTGTTGTTTCAAAGCTAGGACTGACGAACCAAGTCCACCCCTGAAATGATTGTGACTTGATACACAAAGGAGTGAGGTCAGGCAAAAGGACTGGGGGCCAAAGATGGTTGCTGCCTGGTGAACTGCACTCCATCCCTGGGACCCACATGGTAGGAGAGACCCAACCCTGCAACTTGTCCTCTGAGCTCCAGGCATGTGCGTGGCATGTATGTGCACATGTATGAGCAAGGGCACCTTTTCTCTGTTTATTTGTATGTGTGCTGGGATGAAACACACAGCCTCAGAAATGTGAGAGAAGGAATCTACCAAGCAGCCTTCCCTCAGTCCAAAAAGAATCCTCCAAAGGTTTAAGACAACATTTTAAAATGTGGACCCCTGGGCTGGAGACATGGCTCAGTGGTTAAGAGCACTGGCTGCTCTCCCAGAGGACCAAGGCTCAATTCCCAGCACCCACATATCTGCTCACACCTGTCTAATTCCTGTTCCAGGTGATTCAACGCCCTCACATAGACATGCAGGCAGAATACCAATATACATGAAATAAAAATAAAAAGTTTTTTAAAGCCACAGGGAAAATAGTACTAATATGCACAAGCTGACTGCTGACTTCCATGCATGTACACATGCATAAATAGACAGATAAAACTTATAATGGGTTAAAATGCAGAATGGGAGGCGAGAAAGATGAAGGGGGCCAAGTAAATTTCCCAAGAGACTGCTAGAAGGGAAGGGACAGGGACAACTGACCAGAGCTTGGACCTTGTAAGTGGCTTTCCAGTTGCTCACTAGGTTGGTCTGTAGAATGGGCTGGGTCTGTCAGCTCTGCAGCCTTGGGGGGCAGGCAGGAGGCGTAATGTGAATCATCCTGACTGCCAATGTGGAGGTACAAAGGAGGCCACGTAAGCCACGGTGGGTGAGGTGCCACACACCTGTCATTCCGGTGCTGAGGAGGCTGAGACAGGAGGATTAGGAGTGCATAGTCAGCCCGGCCTACAAGCTGTGTCACAGAGGGAGGCTGGGGCTAGGGCTGGGGGTAGAGTGCTAGCCCAGTAATCAGGAAGCTACAAGTTGCAGCACTAGCTCCACAAATGCCTGATGGGAACCTGAGGCAGGAGGAAAATAATTTTGAGGCCAGCCAGGACCCCAACTCAAAACAAAACAAAAATCAAGTCCAGGATTGAGCCCCGTCTTTTTGATGAGTATCTGTGAACCTCGTTTTCCCGAAAAAAATCTCCCTTTCCCTGTGTAGAACTGGACCTTATGTGACACACATTGGACTATCCCTAACCCCACGGGATGTTCAGTGGTGGGGGTGGATGGGATCCTCACATGGAAACTTCACTGGCCACAGTAACTATACCCCATCTTCATCTGGAAACCCCACATAAGTAAATGTGTGTGTATGTATATGCATACATATTTGGGGGTGTGTGTGGACAGAATCCAGACTTTTATTCTGAAGCTGAGGCCCCAGTCTATGAGGTAATCCTTGGAGCTTCATTAGAGGATGATTCCTATTGGTCCACTGGCCAAGCCCCACCCAGGGTTCCCTGTGTTCCGCCTTCTTCTCAAGCGCATAAAAGTGCAACATCCGTACCTAGGCAGCCACCAGGACACCTGCAGCTGCTGTTGAACAGGAGCGGGTGAGGCATGAGGGGACGAGGAACAGGTGCTGGGGGAGGGGAGAGGGACCTTGGAAACAACGCAGGTTGGCATATCTTTCAGAAGGCTAACTGGACTATCTGGGAAGGCAAGAGGAGCCAGTACTGTCTTCCTGGGAGGTGGGAGCAGGTGAGATCCTTGCGCCTTCGGTTTCCCCCTCCTGGAACTCCCTGGGACGATGGGAAGGTATTAAAACCGAAATAGGTCTCTGAGAGGCAGGACAGACGCAAGCAGCAGGCATCCGGGCAGAAGGCAGATGCTGTGCGCCTGTCCTTGCGCCCACCCACCCAGAGGAACGGCTAATTAATTCTATTTCAGCACCGGAGCCGCGGACAGCGTCACCCGGGTCAGGGGACAGAGAGGGCGCTCGTCTTCAGTACCCAGAGCCAGGACAGCTCATAGCGGGCCACCAAGGAGACTTGGTGTGTCGCCGCTCGCCCCCCCCCCCGCCCCAGCCCCACCCCGACCCCCCCGCACAGCACCAAGCTCACAGTACCCAGTGCCAGGGACAAACTTGGGGTCCTTTACGTAGAGAATTTTTTTTTTTTTTTTTGAGACAGGGTACATAGCCCTGGCTGTCCTGGAACTCACTATATAGACCAGACTGGCCTCCAACTCACAGAGTATGAGAGAAGCATTTTGTCAACGGAATGATTAAATGCCACTGGATGAACCAAGGTCCCAAATGAAGCAGTGAGTGGCAAGCCATCCCCGGTCTAACTTTATATCTCACATTCTTTGTATTTTATTTTTCTTAAAAGGGGGCCTCTGTTCGCAAAAGCGCAAGCGCGCGCGTACGTGTGTGTGTGTGTGTGTGCGTGTGCGTGTGCGTGTGCGTGTGCGTGTGTGTGTATTCGAAGCACTCTCCTGAACTCTTGTAGCCCAGGCTAGCTGGGAACTCCATGTAAAGCCAAAGATGATCTGGAAGTCCCCATCCTCCTGCCTCCACTTCTTGAGTGCTTGGGTGCTCACACCTGTATCAATAAATCCCACACTGCCGATGTGGCAGGGTGTACGTCGGGCAGTTAGAGAACAGATCACCTTGTGTCGGGGGGATGGGATGGAAAAGGGAGGCTTACGCACGGCAAGTCAGCGTGGCCTGTTCTGCTCAGTGCAGGACCGGCACAGGACGAGGGGCGGAGCCTGTGAGCCAGTGCTATGTGGAAGACTTGTGATTTTGTTGTTCTGATGTGGGATGACAACAAGTCACAGCCGGCCTCATAGCGTGGACTCCCTTCACCTTCCTTCTGAAATACACATGCCAGTCGGGGCAGGATAGGAGACACAGCCTCAAGGCCCAGAATCAAACAGGGAATGGTGGGCTGGTGAAGTCACTCAGGGGGTAAAGGGGACTGCAGAGAGGAGGGAGAACCTGAATGTGATACCCAGGACCAACATGGTAGAAGGAAAGAAACAGCTCCTCCTACAAGTTGTCCTCTGGCTGTCCCACGTGTCCTGTGACACACACTCCCACACACAAATAATAAACATATGGAAAACTCTTTTTTTTTTTTTGATCTTTTTGAGACAGGATTTCTCTGTAGCTTTGGAGCCTGTCCTGGAACTAGCTCTTGTAGACCAGGTTGGCCTCGAACTCACAGAGATCCGCCTGCCTCTGCCTCCCGAGTGCTGGAATTAAAGCACCACCACCGCCTGGCAACATGTGTAAAACTCTTAGAAGAGGGATTAGCATAGGAGGTGTGACTAGTGTACCCTGAAGTTATTTTTCGTTCTTGTCTTCCTTTCTTCTACTCGGTCTGTTTTGAGACAGTGTCTCCTGTAGTGTCTCCAGGCTTTCCTCTAACTCTGAATCTAGTCAAGGATAGCCTCGACCACTGGCCTCCACCCCTTGAGTGGCATCCACATTATGTCCAGTGGCACTGTCCCCACAGAGCCCCATCCCCGACACCTGTGACCTCCAAATGCAGTCACTAGCCCCCAGTCCTGTGGGGTTCTCCCCAGACTCCTGGTGCTATGACATAGGCAGGAAAGGGTTTGTTTAGCTTATGGCAATGGTTGCACCCCATCACGGAGGGAAGATAGGGCCAGAGCCTGGAGACAGGAGCTGATGCAGAGACCATGAAGGGATGCTGCTTCCTGGCTTGTTCCCTCCAGCCTGCTCAGCCTGCTGTCTTGTAGACCGCAGGACTACCAGGCCAGGGATGGCATCACCCACAGTGACCTCCCACATCAATCACTGATCAAAAGAATGCCCGATGGAGACCTTTTCTCAGTTGAGGTTCCTGCTTCCCAGACAACCCAGTTGTGTGGAATGATGAAGAATCCAGTCACACAGCAGCCCTGTCGTCTTTCTCCATGCAGTTTCCTCCCTGGGACTGCATGGCCCCCTCACAAGACCTCAAATAAGCCACTCTGCCTTCACGCCTCAGCTCTTTGGGAGAAAATTCCTGATACCTCACCAACCACCTAGGACAAGACTTCATTAACACCCTCAGACTCCTGGGAAGGCCACATCGACTGAGTCTCTCAAGCAGAATGTTTACAGTTCTATTCCTGTTTGCATTGTGAGTTCAGCACAGCACTGCAGAGGAAGCCCAGAGCCTTGCAAACACTATGTCGGAACCATGACCCCAAACCTTCACTGGGGATTCTAGTCAGGGACGCCAGGCCTGACCACGCCCCCAGACCCTCACTGGGGAGTCCTAGGCGGGACTCCAACCATGACCATACCCCCAGACCCTCACTGGGGGATTCTAGGCGGGGCTCCACTCTGACCACGCCCCCAGACCCTCACTGGGGATTCTAAGCAGGGCTCCACCCTGACCACGCCCCCAGCCCTTCACTGGGGATTCTAGGCGGGGATCCATCATGACCATGCCCCCAGCCCCTCACTGAGGGATTCTAAGCAGGGGCTGATCCTGTCAAGCAGATAAAAGACCAGGAAGGATTTCAGATGACAGATGTAGAGAGGCAGGGGTTCAAGTGATGAGCCATACTTTCAACTTTTATTTATTTTGTAATTTTTTCTCTTCCCCTTTATTTCGTAATTTTTTTGAGACAGGATTTCACTATATAGACTAAGCTGGCCTGGAACTCAAGAGGCCCGCCTGCTCTGTCTTGTCCCCAGAGTGCTGGGGTTAATGGTGTGCCCCTCCATACCTGGCTTATCTTTTTATTTCTTGAGGACGTCTTGCTCTTCTGCCCTGAATGGCCTTGAACTCAGAATCTTCCCATTTTTACTTCCCCATAGTCTATTGATGGCCTGTGATGCCCATCCTGCTACTGTGCTTCCCCCTGGTATTCAATGGGTGGTCAATAAATGTGTGTTGAGGCATCAAGGGATACAGCAGCAATCAGTAAATAAAATCCATGTGTTCACCACACACACTGCAATTACTGTCTGGGCTCTAAGAGGGCGCAGCTGTTGAGGGGCAGCAATGGCAGGTGTCTCCTGGGGAAATATAATTAAATTTCTGGATACTCAGGGGCTAGCCAATGAAAGAACAGTCCCAGGAGAGAGCCGGTCTTCGTTCATTAGCAATTAAGAGACATCGATTTCTCATTAGTTAAGGGAAGCCCTATCTCCCTCCTTCACTCCAGAGGAACTACATCTTCTCTCTTCTGGGAGTCCTGCCTCAGTGGGCCCATTAAGAAGCCCAGAGAACAAGATTAAATGATTAAATGATGCCTAAATGCCAGAGGTGCTTATAGATAGGGGCATCAGGTGCCTGGGCTAAGTCACACAGCGGAAGGGATAGGGAACACGTGTCCACAGCCATGTTTCAGAAACTCGACCCTGCATTTCTCCTCTCTCTCTCTCTCTCTCTCTCTCTCTCTCTCTCTCTCTCTTGTTATTTTGAGACAGAGTTTTTCTGTGTAACCCTGGCTGTCCTGGAACTCACTCTGTAGCTCAGGCTGACCCTGAACTCACAGAGATCCACCTGATCTGCCCTCCCCTGTGCCAGGACTAAGGGTATGCGCCACCCCCTCCCAACTTATCCACATTTCCTGTACTCACCCCAAATTCATCCTGTCGATTGGAACCCTCAGGGCTCCAGGAGTGGACACTGCCTTGGCTAGGTTTTGTCAACTTGACACAAGCCAGAGTCATCTGGGAAGAGGGATCCTTGGCTGAGAAAATGGTTCCACCAGGTTGGCCCATCCTTCCTTTACTCGATATTGACCACTGTGGGTGGGGCCACCTGGGGAGGTTGGATAAAACAAAACAAAACAAAACAGACGGAGCAAGTTCTGGGGATGGGGGCCATAGCAGGTTCCTCCATGGCCTCTGTATCAATCAGCTCCTGCCTCAAGTTCCCCTCCACAATGGGCTCTAACCTGTATGCTAAGGGAACTCTCTCTTACCCAAGTTGCTGCTTTTGCTCTTTCTCACAGCAACAGAAATCACTCAAGGACAGCACAACAGTAGAAAAGAAAAGAAAAGAAGAGAAGAGAAAAGAAAAGAAAAGGGGTATTGGGAGGTGATGGCACACGCCTTTAATCCCAGCACTCTGGAGGCAGAGGCAGGTGGATCTCTATGAGTTCATGGCCAGCCTGGTCTACAGAACGAGTCCGGGACAGGCTCCAAAGTCACAGAGAAGCCCCTGTCTCAAAAAAAAAAAAAGAAAGAAAGAAAAGAAAAGAAAAGAAAAGGAAAAAGAAAATAAGAAAACAGGGGCAGTGTCTTAGTCAGGGTTTCTATTTCTGTGAAGAGACACTGACCATGCAACTCTTTTTTTGGGGGGGAAGGGGTGATTAGAAGGCAGGGTTTCTGTGCGTAACAGTGCTGGCTGTCTTGAAACTAGCTCCATTGACCAGGCTGGCCTTGAACTCACAGAGACCCACCTATCTGCCAGCCATTCAGTATTGGAGCAAACCCTGGGGGCGGAATCCTGAAGAATAGTATTTGGGCTACTTTGAGCGCAGATATGATTTAGGGCCATGAGAAAGCTCAGTTGGTTAGTGGTGTGAGACGAATTTCAAAGAAAAGCTTTGCCCACCTGACCCTGACCACAAGACTGCCTGTAATCATTTTTTTTTATGTAAGCTTTTATGTCTGCCAACTTCCTTCTGTAATCCCATAAAAGTGATGCTTGAATTTTAGTAAAATTGCAGCAGATTCAAACCTCATTAGAGTTGTGTCTGTCTGTCATTCGCCGAATCCCGGATTCTCCTTAGCCTTCACCCCATTACCCCTCGGTCATCGATCTCCAAGAGAGTCAGTCCGCAGCAGACTGCCAGCTGGTTCATTGGGTAGACAGATGAGTGGTCCCAAGCCCGAGGACCTGAGTGTGATTCCTAAAGTCCACACGGTGGAAGGCAAGAGCAGATTCCCACCTCTGCAGTTAACGCTGGCAGGATTCTCAGGGCTGCAGAGATGGCTCAGTGGGGAAGGGCGCTGACCTTCCTTAAAACCTGGCTTTGACTCCCAGCACCCAGTTCCAGGGTTCTGATGCCCTCTTCTGGCTGCCATCGGCACCTGGCACACATGTGGAGCGCAGACACGCGTGCTGGCGATGCGCTGGTGTACAGGAAGTAATAAAATGAAAAGGTGATATTGATGAAGAATGATGAGCACATCTGCACACAGTGAGTCTGCGGCTAGCCCAGGATCCACCTGTGCCACCATTCTTCCCCTGGTTCTTTCTGAAACCTAACCAGCTTATGAGGGAGGGACACGGCTCCCATCAGACCCTGTCTTGGTAGCTTCCATGCATAGTTTGCGGGAGACTCCTGGTATGTACGTGTGTGGATTTGCATGTGTGTGCACATGTTCCTAGATAGACACATGCTGGAGTGCTTGGTTATGTGTCTAGGTGCGTGTGCAGGCCAGAGGCCAACACTGGCAGTCAGACCTCAGTACCGTTCACTTTCTCATTTATATTTTGTTATTTACTTACTGAGTGTGCATGTGTACATGTGGCTGCTCCCATGTGCAAGTCCCTGAACTTGTGACTGAGGTCTGACTGTCCGCCACTTGAGTCCTGTGCACTGAACTCAGATCCCCAAGCTTGATGGCTCCCCCTACTGGCTGAGCCATCTCACTGACCTTTCTCCCTCCTCTCACCTGAGACAGTATCTCACACTATATCCCAGTGTGGCTTGGTACTCAAAGCAATCCTTCTGCCCCCATCTGCCAAGCATTGATATTACAGACGTGAGCCACCATGCCTGGCTTTCCTATCCTCTTACAAAGCAGAAAGGTTACCCAAAGATCTGGAAATCTCACACGGTGAAGGCTAGCCTGGACTACAAAAGCAGGAAGGTTACTCAAAGATCTGGAAATCTCACATGGTGAAGGCCAGCCTGGGCTACACGTTGATGCCCTCAAGCCATGGAGTTTCCATAAGAATGTCACCATAGACCCAGGAACAACATAGCTCCTTTTTGCTTTTTAAGACACCGAGCAATTGGCAGACTTGAGTAGTATCTACTCTCTTCTCCGTCGAGGGGGTGCAGACCTCATGCCTGAGGCCTTGAGCAAGAACTCCCTACAGTTTCTCTAGCTCCCTAGGTAGGGCTCAATCTGTGAACCCTCACCAGTCTCACGGAGTGGGGGATGGGATCTGCCACATGCCCATAATGGTATCATTTACTGTTTATTACTAAATGTCAGTCATTTGATCTTACCAATAAAGACTCGGGACCCAGATGCTGGGGGGGGGGGGTGACAGCCTGCAGCTCAGAGAGGCAGAGAAAGCACTCAGCTGACCTTCCTTCTCCACCATCAGCCCAGAAAAGACTACTTTTATTTTGATGTCTCAAACAACAACAAAAACAACAACAACAAAAACCCCTCAAACTGAATGTCCCTCCCTACTACTTCCTGTGTGTCCCTCCTCCATCCTCCTGACTACCTCTTACTCTCTGTGGTTTTTTTTTTCTTGTTCACTTCCTGTAAACTGGTTGCAAATAGACCTATAGTTGACTTTAGCTAATCCAATTTACAATATTCAAGCAGAAAGTTTTTGGATCAAAGGTGTTTGCTAGAGCTGAGCCACACCACAAATAAAAACAGGTTTTCCCAGTAAATAATGCAATCTCAGGGATCACAGTGTGATCAAGTATCCTGTGTCAGTCATTGGTGTCGCTAAAGACAGAGATGGGCTAGCGAGGGAGGGCAAGCAGCTTCTAAGAGTGAGGGAGTTCTGTCCTTGTTCATGCTCTTAGGGAGACAGCAACTGTCAAGACCTTATGGCCTCCCCAGGCACTGACTTTTTACCAGGTTTGCAGAGAGCAGGTGTCAAATTTGATCAGAAATTGGTTGTTTGCCCTGTGACAGTCATTCCACGACTGCACCAGCCTAGCATCCGCCATCTGGGACCACACTGCAGCCCTCAGGGTCCAGTGAGTGTGGGTGCCCACATGTGTAAGAAGGACAGCCTGCAGGAATGGCTTGCTCCTTCCGCAGTATGAGTCCTTTGCAGCAAGCACTATTACCAACTGACCTATTTAATTGGCCCCCAAATTCTCTCTCTCTCTCTCTCTTTCTCTCTCTCTCTCCCCAAGACAGGCTTTCTCTGTGTAACAGCCCTGGCTGTGCTGGAACTCACTCAATATAGACCAGGCTTATAGAACAGGCTGGCTTTGAACTCACTAAGACCTGCCTGTCTCTACCTCCCGAGTACCAGGGCTACACAGAGAAACCCTGTCTCGAGGGGAAAAAAAGAATGGCTTGTTTTACTGGGACAAGGTCTCACTCTGAAGTCCAGGATGGCTCAGATTCACAGAGCTCCTCCGGCCTTAGTGTCCCTTTCCTGGGGAGAAGGACACAATGCTCACTGTCAGAGCTGAGCGATGCAGTGAGTTACTGTCACCACGAGCCACCACAGTCTGTACACTTATTACATGTCTTTTGTTGCTGCTTTGAGGCAGTCACACGTTGCCCAGGCTAGCTTCAAACTCCCTCTGTAGCTGAGGTTGACCTTGACCTCCCCATTGTCCTGCTGGAGGACAGGTGTGTGACCTGTGTCGTTGAGAATTCACGCACGCCAGGCAAGTGGTCTACCCACAGAGCTACAGCCCCAGCCTGGCTTTTCATTTCTGATGCTGCTTTCTTTGTTTTGTGTCCAAGTTTCACTCTGTAGCCCAGGCTGCCCTGGAACTCATGATCCTCTCCCCGTGTTCCTGGCTCCCACGAGTCCACTTCCGCCTCTGGATTCCCACGTCTGGGTTGTGTGAAATCCTGTGGGTGAGTCTCTTACTGAGCAGTGTCTGTCTTCAGCAGTCTTGTTCCTATTTATGACTGAGTACATTATCTTTTGATAGAGTATTTTCATTTTGTATTGGTGCTGCGGAGGATTTGTGCGCATGACTGCAGTGCTCACCGAGGCCAGCAGAGGTCCCGGGACCTCTGGAGCTGCAGTCACAGTTGTGAGCTGTCCTGTGGATGCTGGGACCGAACCTGGGGCCTCTGACAGAGCAGCCAGAGCTCTAACGCTGAACCGTCTCTCACCTGAGGTCCTGGGGCAGACATTGTATTGTAGCCTTTTACCTAGAGGCTGAGGCCCAGAGATGTAAAGCGTATGGTTCAGGGAAGCTCAGCGAGGAGGCAACTGGGACCCGCCCAGCCTGGGATCCAGTTATGAGACTCTTTGATACTTTACATATTTTTGGCACTCTGGTGTTCCTTGGCATCATTGTCTGTGCTGTTTGTCTCTCAGTGTTGCACAGGCTCTGTCCTCCTGGCCTCAGCTTCTGGGGTGAGGGGACTAGGAAGCTTGACTGCCGCATAACACTGATGAGGTCTCTGGCTTTCCCAAGCAAGCGAGTGTCTCACAGACGTGCGAGCAGGGGCTCAAGGTGGTGACTCCAGGAATCCTTCCCTGACACCGGCACCCTGAAGGTCTCTGCTTGGAATACGCCACATATGGAATTTTATTTTATTGGGAGGTAGGATTCAGAAGACCAATGACATCCCCCCTCCTCCACACCCCAACCCCCAGCCCAGCAACCACAGAGATCACGTCCCTAGGGAAGGTGGGAGCTGTCCAGAGAGCCTTGATTACTTCCTGCTTCTTAATGGGTTCTTCAGAACCTTTGGTTTCCATGGCAACAAGCAGGCAGCAGCAAAAGGGAAGTGGCTTCCAGAGCTTCCTCTCGCGCCCATCAAAGCTTCCGGCAGCCAATCTCTCCATAGCTAACCTTAGGGCCAGGGAGACACCCACCAGAGATCTTAGAGACACCTGTAAGTGGGTGCACCTTCCTGGCCCCGTGCACAGTGGGGACGACCCTGGTCAGTCCAACTGAAGCAAACGCGGAGAAACTGCTTGGGTTTGGATGTGGCTCAGGAGTGGAGCCCCACTTAGAATCCTCCAGTGAGAGGCTGGGGCCGTGGCTCTGTGGAAAATAAACTTCAGTTACCACTAAATAGAATTATCCACTAAATTTTATGGAATTTTACACACAAGTCTTTGCAAGGTCTGTGGTCATTGAGGCTGTTGCCCCCTGCTGTCCACTATGGGAACTGCAGCCACCTTTGGCCTTTGAGGTCATGCTGGAAGGCTCTAAGGCGTCCCAACTCAGCGTCCACCAAGACCTATGGCTTCCAGAGCTGTACCAGGTCCAGCCTATCTGTAATTCTGGTTCCTGGCAGTTCCATCTGGTGCTGGAGATCATAGTCGCGGGCCACTCCTAGTATTCCAGAACATGCTGGCATCAAACAGTGACTTTTTCTCCTGGCTACGCTGATCAGCACCTGTTTTCTGACTTTCTCTATCTCCTCCTGGCTACTGGTGTCTCCCCAGAGCCTGCTCTCCTCCCTATAGATTCCAACTCAGTGTGACGCAGAACTGGTCTCGATGCGAATACTGTGTTCACAACTGTCACGCTGCAACCTCCTTGGACTGTAAGCAGAGAACACACCTGCTGGTGTGGCCTGCAGCCATTATTCCACCGCTCAGCGGACAGAGGCAGAGCCAGCCAGGGCTGCATAGTAAGACCTTGTCTAAAAGCAAACAGTAAAAAACGAGACTAGCCGGGGAGATAAATCTGTCCAGATTCTATATAGTTTTTAATAAAAATATATTTTCATGCTTATTTCTTGTGTGTGTCAAGCATGTGGAGAGATCAGCGGCCACGTTGCCATGTTCCAGTACATGGGTTCAGGGCCAAAATCAGGTTGTCATGTTTGGCAGCAGGCACTTTCACCTCCGAAGTCCTCTCACCAGGTCAGACACATTTTTTGATTTTAGACAGAGTCTTGCTATTGTAGCCCAGACTAGCCTGCTCATCATAGTCCTGCCTTACCGCCCCATGCTGGAATGACAGGCCACAAGCTGGTGTAGAATAGTTTTTAAGCTGTGTTGCTTTTGTTTACGCTGCATTTGTTTAACTCCATGAAGCTGTGATTCTTTGCCTGTCTAAAACATCTGATGGGGGCTGGAGAGATGGCTCAGAGCATTGCCTGTTCTTCCAAAGGTCCTGAGTTCAATTCCCAGCAGCCACATGGTGGCTCACAACCATCTGTAATGGGGTCTGGTGCCCTCTTCTGGCCTGCGGGCATATACACAGAGAGAATATTGTATACATAATAAATTAATAAATATTTTTTTAAAAAAACATCTGATGGTCTAATAAAGCGCTAAACGGCCAATAGTGAGGCAGGAGAAAGGATAGGTGGGGTGGCCTGGGAGAGGGTATAGATAGGAGAAAGGTGAGGGTGAGCAAGAGAAGGAGAGGGGAATAATAGGGGTCAGCCACACAGCCAGTCATGGAGTAAGAGTGAAAGTAAGGTATACAGAAATAAGAAAAGGAAGAAGCCCAGAGGCAAACGGTAGGCAGGATAATATAAGGAAAGCTGGCAAGAAACAAAGCGAGCTAAGGTCAGGCATTTCCAAGAAAGAATAAGTCTCTTCATGTGTATTTATTTGGGAGCAGGGTGGCGGGCCCCCAAAAGAGCAAAGAGTAAAGCAACCGGCTACAGAATGCATTTAAAAGGAAAATTTTAATGAAGCCAGGTGTGGTAGAGAGCTTTAATCCCAGAGACAGGAGGATCTCTGAGTTCGAGGCCAGACTGGTCTACAGAAAGAGTTCGAGGACAGTCAGAGCTACAGAGAAACCCCCATCTTGAAAAACAAACAAACAAACAAACAAACAAACAAAAACCCTAGAATTATTGAATCTGACTGGATTTGAAGAAGCCAAGAGGTCAATGGCTGGGGCCTCCGGGCCCCAACACTGGGGTCTGTACAAGGGACATCACAGGTCACAAAGAAAAAGTGGATGAATTAGAGTCTAGCTTGAACTACACCGTGAGATCCAAGTTTGATCCCCAGGCTCTCCACGGTAGAGGGGCAGACTGGATTCTGATCAAGGCACACTTGTGTGGTCGCACACACAAACACACACACACACTTTAAAGGCAATGTAAGGAAGGACATTTGGAGGACCTGGGAGTGCACTCAGCAAGTCAAGTGTGGCAGCTGGAGTGTAACTGGGGGAGCAGGGGAGCACCTGCCATCCCAACTTCCCAAAGCAGAGATTGGAACCACAAAGTCAGCTGGATGCTGAACCCAGCCATAAGACTCTGAGCTCTGAGTTTGACAGAGAGACAACTAAGGTGGGGGAGCAATGAGCAGAGTGCTAATGGCAACCTCAGAACTTACAAGCCCTGTGAATAATCCTGTTGTATGCTGCGAATATGCATTACTCTCATTGACTAATAAAAGAAGATGATTGGCCTATAGCGAGGCAGAATGAGGTAGGCAGGAAGGCTGGACTGAAAATGCTGGGGCAGGGAAGAGCAGAGTCAGTCACCCAGGAAACAAGACATGCTAGAGGGAAGGTAAAGCCAGGAGCCATGTGGCAATATGTCGATTAATAAAAATGGGTTAATTTAAATGGAAGACCTAGTTAGTAATAAGCCTGAACTATTGGCCAAACATTTGTCATTAATGTGTGTTTATTTGAGACCAGGGAGTTGGGACAGGGGAACCCATCTACATACATGCAAGCATGCTCATGCATGTGCTCACAACAATGCGGTTAAAGAAGAATTGGGTATTCCAGGGCAGCAGAGATGGCAAGGTGGTTAGAGCATGGGCGGATCTTGTAAAGGGCAGAGCTTAGCCTTAGCAACCACAGAGCAGCTCAAGCAGCCATCTGCAAAGTCAGTTATTGGGATCTGATGTCCCCTTTGGTCATCCCCCATTGCACCCCGGCTTCAGGTAGCCTGGCTTCCTGATAGTCAAGACACCTTTCCTCCAGGGCTGAGCTGTCCTATTGCAGCTCTTACCTCCTCCCCAGAGCTGTCCTGTTTAGGCCCCACCCACCCAGAGCTGTCTTATTGAGGCCCTACCCACCCAGAGCTGTCCTACTGAGGCTCTATCCCCCACTACAGCTGTTCTATTTAGGCCCTCCCCCACCAGATGTCCTATTGTGGTTCTACCCACCCAGAGCTGTCCTATTGTGGCTCTAAGTATATCCTGACTTCCCTGCAGCACTACAACTGTAACATATTCCCCTACACTGGTATCTTTTTAAAAATATTTATTTATTATGTATAATAATGAGGCACCAGACCTCATTACAGATGGTTGTGAGCCACCATGTGGTTGCCGGGAATTGAACTCAGGACCTCTGGAAGAGCAGGCAATGCTCTTAACCACTGAGCCATCTCTCCAGCCCCCTACACTGGTATCTTAAAGGTTATTGACTGAAGAAGTTCCCACAGCACCTCCCCCTTCTCTTTAAATAAGAGAGTTCTAAGCCTAATACAAAACTATATGCAGTAAGAACAAATATCAAGTATTATTCAGAGAAAAAAAGAGACAAAAATATACATAAAAAGTAGTATTTTACAGCCAGCATAAACATAAAATAAGAAATATATGCTAAATGTTTCAATAGTTGTCCTATCCTAAGGAGTCTAAGTCTTAAAAATAGCTTGGCTAAGTCATGAGAGGAAAGTAACTATCATCCTTTTCTGTTTATTTAACATATTCTTTACGTTCAATTTGATCTTTCTACAACTGCATGACCTGCAGGATTGTGTGCTATACCTATAATATGCTTTGTATTATCATAAGCAGAAAACTGGACCATTTTTCTTAAACACACATGCTGAACCACTGTCTGTGTTTCTTTGTGTGGGTATTGTTATGAAATTGCCTGCGAGTCCCGAGAGGTTGCGCGGGGTGGGGGGGCAGTCCAGTGCCTGGTCCAGAGCAGTGCGGGCCGGGCAGCGGTCCCGAGGGCCGCCAGCCCCGGGCAGGGCCCAGCGCACCCAGCGGTGTGAGCAGGAGGCAGGTAGGAGGTACAGATACATCACACAGAATAGAATTGAATATTTATTAGTTGAGTTATGGAATGGGAAGGAAAAAGGGGGAAGGCGGGAAGAGAGGAGAGAGAGAGAGAAAGGGAAGAGAGAGAAGAGGACATAGAGAGAGACAGAAGGGGAGCAGGTGAGGGGACAGAGGAAACAGAGAGAGAATCAAGATGGCGAGAGGAGGGGGCCTACAAGGAGTGGGCGTGTCTCTGAAAGTGGTGAACAATCATAACATTCCCAGCTCCTCTTTTTTATAATAAAAAGCAGGAGATTAGACACCACAGGTTGATGGAATTGGGATGGCAGATTCTCAAGACTTCTTCCGGCTTATTTGGGAGGGGGAACCTGAGAAGGCTGGGTGCTGACCACATCCTGGCTTAGCTGGTCTCTTTGCTCCTGTCCAGTGTTTGTGGCATGGAAATGGCTGGTGTCTCTTATATCTGTTTAAGGTATTGGCAGAACAAAGAACAAAGTTAAATTAAGGGGAAAAAAAATTTTAGGACCAGGGAATTGAGGGGGATGTATCTGACCTGTTTAAGGTAGATCCTTTAATTCGGCTCCCTGGAACTCACAAGAATTCCTTGGGTTTATGAAAACAGAAGTTTTAGACACATACATTGTATAATGACTGTGACAAATTTTTGTACAATGAAAAGTTTTTGTTTTAAACTGGCAAAACCTCTCAGCTATCAAACTGTATCAGAGATCTTTGAGAAGGTTAAGATTTTAATTGAGTTACGGATTAAAAAATGACAAAGAACTTAATTGGTTGGCACCCAGAGATACTCTTTTTGGGTCCTCCATTGTCGCTGAAGGTCACATTTGCCTTTTGCTGTTTAGTGTAGGGCCTGCCAGGCTCCAGAAGATTCTGAGGGCTAAGAAATCTGTAGGAAGACAGGCCTACCTTGACCTGAGCACCTAGGCTGTTGATTCCAGCGATTCTGTCCACGTCAGGAGAATTTTAGTTTAGATGAAAGGCAGTTTTGCCCAATGGTCAGCGCTCGGCAGTTGAAGCAAACTGCAGATGGACGTTGTTCTGTGTGTCCATTTGTCTTCTGTCTTCTTTGGAGGAAGCAGAGTGCTGCTGCTAGGAGCCAACCTGTCTCTTTTGGTTATGAAAATTTTTTAATAATTAAATATTTAAATATCACATTTCCCAAATCTCTGAGCAGTTGAGGGCTGTTTATTAGGTATAACTGTAGTATAGAATCTGTCTGGAAGCTTGAGTCTGAGCTTGACTGTACTGGCTCTTAAACAGGTAAGATTTACACTCGTAAAAAGGCAGAAAGAAAAAAAAAACTGCTTGCTGAGAATAGCTTAATATATTTTAAATGAGGGTTGGATTAAATATAAGGCATTTTTGTAAGAGACTTAAAAGTACATACCAGTTTAAAACATGAGACTTATTGATTTTGTAGTCTGAAGTGAGATGTAATGAACAATTATTACACACAGAAAGAGTGAACAGGAATTGAGCAAAGTGGATGCTCTTGATGGGCCCTACCAAAGGCATGCCACTGCGCAAAACACATGTAACAGAGTCAACAAGAGGAATTTAGTGAAAACCAGGGTACTTAAGTAAAAATGGGAGAGTTTGGTCACCTGACCTGGCTCTCAGTCGAGATGGTGGCGAAGTCACATGACCCCAGTCAAAATGGCGGCAGCCACGTGTTGTATGAAAAAGCCACAATTTTTGAGATGTAAGGTTTTTAAGCTTAATAAGAGAAACCTAAAGGCATGACCTGCCCATGAGCTGCCATGGCACACCACAAGTCGCAGAGGGGAGCAAAAGGCTGGAACCAAAAAAACTGCACCATGCCATGGCTGGAATTGAAAAAGCCAGCTGGAATTTGAAAAAGCCAGGGAGCCGCCATGGGCGGTTGCTATCCACATCCAAAACCATGAAAACCCGCAAAACAGCGGCTCCTCAAGGCCTATTACGGGAATGTCTTCCTACAGGCATGGTGCAAATCAGTGCAAACACCCAGTACCTGTGAGCTGGGCCTCCCCTAACCCCAGTTGGAGTATTATGGCCTGGCTGGATCTGGTTGGGTGACTCAGAAACCAGAGAGGCCTGAGGCCGCTCTGAGCGGCTTATGATGAGGGAAAAAAAGAAAAGTGAAGACATGGAAAAAAAGATGAAGAAACTGAGGGACCCTGGATCCCCAGTCGAATGCACTGCATGGGGAGTGTGCAGTGCTAACGCGGGCTGACAGACCCCGGGTCAGTCCAAACACGATTCCAGTTAAGGGAAGCAACCGTAGCAGAGTGGGGGAGACTCACCGATTGAAGCCAGGAAGTCGGTGATAGGAGTGGAAAAAAGACCCTAGTTCAGGATCCTGACCCTAGAAGAGGAGTTCCAGGCAGGAGCACCTATCCGAGTCACGTGGCACCAAAATGTTATGAATTTTGTGGGTCCTGAGCAGCTTGTGGCGGGGTCCTGGTGTCTGGTCCCAAGCAGCAGGGGCCAGGTAGCGGGTTCTGAGAGCCACCAGCACCGGGATGGTCCGGCAACAGTGTATCCCTGGAAAATACAAGTTCCCAATGACAAGCCGCTGTGGGCAGGACAGCGGGTGAGAGATACATGGACAGACACATCATACAGAATAGAATTGGATATTTATTAGTTGAGTTATGGAATGGGAAGGAAAAGGGGGAGAAGGGGAGAAGAGAGGACAGAGAGAGAGAGAAAAAGGGAAGAGAGAGAAGAGGACAGAGAGAGAGAGAGAGAGAGAGAGAGAAGGGGAGTGGGAGAGGGGACAGAGGGAACAGAGAGAGTCAAGATGGCGAGAGGAGGGGAGGGGCTGCAGGGAGTGGGCGTGGCTCATCTCTTAAAGTGATGAACAATCATAACAGGTATACCCATGATGGTAAATGTGTGATTACTGAATCATCCTTTTCCAAACTCAAAGCAGTTTCCCATTGAAAACCTGACTAGGTGTCAATGGTGTGGTGTACATATTTTAACTTTCCAAATTGTACAAAGTGGAATACATCCCCCTGCCAGATTTCATTCCTTTGAGTACCCTTTGGATTTCTTTCTACAAGTAGTGGTATTTGGTTATATAAAAAGCAAGTAGGACTTCTGGAGGCATCACAATCCCTGACTTCAAACTCTACTGCAGAGCTACAGTACTGAAAACAGCCTGGTATTGGCATAAGAACAGACAGCAGGACCAATGGAACCAAATAGAAGACCCGGATATCAATTCACACATCTTCGAACACCTGATATTTGATAAAGAAGCAAAAAATATCAAATGGAAAAAAGAAAGCATATTTAAAAAGTGGTGCTGGCATAACTGGATATCAACATGTAGAAGAATGAAAATAGATCCATATTTATCACCATGCACAAAACTCAAGTCCAAATGGATCAAAGATCTCAACATAAAGTCAGCCACATTGAACCTTATAGAAGAGAAAGTGAGAAGTACACTTGAACACATTGGCACAGGGAAACACTTCCTAAATAGAACCCCAGCAGCACAGACACTGAGAGAGACAATTAATAAATGGTACCTCCTGAAACTGAAAAGCTTCTGTAAAGCAAAGGACACAGTCAACAAGACAAAACAACAGCCTACAGAATGGGAAAAGATCTTCACTAGCCCCACATCAGACAGAGGTCTGATCTCCAAATATACAAAGAACTCAAGAAATTGGACACCAAAAGAACATATAATCCAATTTTAAAAATGGAGTACAAACCTAAACAGAGAACTCTCAACAGAGGAATCTATAATAGCTGAAAGATACTTAAGGAAATGTTCAACATCCTTAGTCATCAGAGAAATGCAAATCAAAACAACTCTGAGATTCCAACTTACAACTTCCAACTTGGCTGTAAGAATAGCCAAGATCAAAAACAAGATCAAAAACAACTTATGCTAGAGAGGTTGTGGGGAAAAGGGAACACTTCTGCATTGCTGATGGGAATGCAAGCTGGTACAACCCCTTTGGATGTCAGTGTGGTGATTTCTCAGGAAATTAGGAAATAACCTTCCTCAAGATCCAGTAATACCACTTTTGGGTATATATCCAAAGGATGCTCAATCATGCCACAAGGACATGTGCTCAACTATGTTCATAGCAGCTTTGTTTGTCATAGCCAGAACCTGGAAACAACCTAAATGCCCCTCAATCAAAGAATGGATAAGGAAAAAGTGGTACATTTACACAATGGAGTACTACACAGAAGAAAAAAATAACTACAGCTTGAATTTTGTAGGAAAATGGATGGAGCTAGAAAACATTATTTTGGGGGCTGGAGAGATGGCTCAGTGGTTAAGAGCATTGCCTGCTCTTCCAAAGGTCCTGAGTTCAATTCCCAGCAACCACATGGTGGCTCACAACCATCTGTAATGAGGTCTGGTGCCCTCTTCTGGCCTTCAGGCATACACACAGACAGAATATTGTATACATAATAAATAAATAAATAAATATTTTAAAAAAAGAAAACATTATTTTGAGTGAGGTAACCCAGACACAGAAAGACAATTTTCACATGTACTCACTCATAAGTGGTTTGTAAACATGAAGCAAAGAAAGCCAGCCTAGGGGCTGGTGAGATGGCTCAGTGGTTAAGAGCACTGACTGCTCCTCCAGAGGACCCGGGTTCAATTCCCAACACCCACATGGCAGCTCGCAGCTGTCTTTAAATCCAGTTCAAGATAATCTGACATCATTGTACCAATGTGCATGAAATAAAGTTTAAAAAAAAGAAAGAAAGCCAGCCTACAAACCACAATCCCAGAGAATTTAGACAACAATGTGACACCAAGAGAGACTTACATAGATCTAATCTACATGGGAAGTAGAAAGTAGAAAAAGACAAGATCTCCTCCTAAGTAAATTGCAAGCATGGGGACCTTGGGGGGATGATTGAAAGGGGGAGGGGAGAGGCAGAAAGGGGAGCAGAGAAAAATGTGCATTCAACCCATCTCATGCTTTGTTTTACTAGAGATAGGATTCCAATTCCTCTGCCTCTTGAAAAGGCCCATATGGATGACATGATTCTGGAGGAATAACAGTCACATCCACACCTGTGTCCAGTAATCCTTCAATTACAATGTATTTATTCATCCTCTCAGCTTTGGTCTTTGATTATTTATGGAAGTCTGAAAACATATATGTTTCCTGTTTTCCATGTGTATTCTTCATCCACAGCAGTATGGTTTTTTACAGCAGGCACTGGATTTTCTAATTTTCCTGGGGAGGCGTGTCCTTTACTGTGACTGGGAATAAGTGGACCATGTTTTATCTGGGGGACTGTGGGAGGTCCCCCAAGGAGTTTCCTGATGGTAATAGGTTGCCTTGTTTGTCTCTTGTTGATCTACATCCATTGGTCCATTGTCAGCCTTTGCCACATCTTCTACATAATCCAGAAGGCTGAGACCTTCTATTTTTGTCATTCCCATAGGAAACATTATTTCTAGGAATTCCTTGTCTACAATCCCTTCTCAGATATCCCATTCTACCACAATTAAAATATTTGGTATTTTGATGTCTCCTCATACCTTTGGAAATTTCTTCTTCTACTCAAGCCTCAGTATAATAGTCAAATGACTCAACATTGGCTCTGTGCAGTGTCTATTCATCCATTGGTGCTGATTTGACCTTTAAAGCCCAAGTATCTTTTTTCATTGTAAGTTGGCATTCTCAAAAGCCAGAGATTGAATAAGTATTTGTCTAGCTTCTGAATCTGTTGCCCCTGTTTGTACAGCTTTAATCTTTGTAGAAAGTCACTAATGGGTTCTCTTGGGCCTTGTATGACCTTAGTATGTGATTCAGTTCTTCTGCCTGATTCTTGAATCCTGTCTCAGCATTCAAGGCTGCTGTATGGCATATGGACAAGATATGTTCATTGTAAATAGCTTGACTCTGTGCATCAACATAATGGCCCTCACCAAGAATTTGATCTTGGGAAGCCTCAAATCCTTTGACTCTACATTGATGTTTCAGGGTTTTAGCCTCCTCTCTACAATGACACTTCCACTGTAACTGTGGCCCATTTTCTAGCACCTCTGAGACAAATTGAAGCCAATCATGTGGAGTAATCCTATTGTTTGAAGACCATGTTTCTACCATCTCCCTAACAAATGGTGAATGCATGCCATAAGATACTATTACTTGCTTAATTTCTTTTAGATCTTTCATACCTATAGGCTTTCTTTTACATTCTGTGTATCTGTTTGGGTATTGAGTATTTGCTGGCTTTTCATAGGTAATATAGGTAAGTCTTGGTAAGTCATCTCTGACTCTGAGAGGTACTGGAGATGCTCAATCTTTACTATGTCTTTTGCCTGTACCTCCTCTCTTTGCTTATCTGTTCTGACAAGTTCCTCAATCGATTCTTTTGTTTTTAAATATTTATTTTTTATTATGTATACAATATTCTGTCTGTGTGTATGTTTGCAGGCCAGAAGAGGGCACCAGACCTCATTACAGATGGTTGTGAGCCACCATGTGGTTGCTGGGAATTGAACTCAGGACCTTTGGAAGAGCAGGAAATGCTCTTAACCACTGAGCCATCTCTCCAGCCCCGATTCAATTCTTTTTATCACTGTCTTATAAAGCCTGAATCAATCTCTCTCTCTCTCTCTCTCTCTCTCTCTCTCTCTCTCTCTCTCTCGACAGAGTTTCTCTGTAGCTTTGGAGCCTGTCCTGGAACTAGCTCTTGTAGACCAGGCTGGCCTCAAACTCCCAGAGATCCGCCTGCCTCTGCATCCTGAGTGCTGGGATTAAAGGTGTGCACCACTGCCGCTCAGCCTAAAGCCTGAATATCTTTTTTTAATTAAAAATTTTATTTGACTTTATTTCATGCGCATTGGAATAACGATGTCAGATTCTCTTGAACTAGAGTTAGTTACAGACAGCTGTGAGCTTCCATGTGGGTGCTGGGAATTGAACCCCGATCCTCTGGAGGAGCAGTCAGTGCTCTTAACCACTGAGCTATCTCACCAGCCCCAAGCCTGAATCTCTTGACCTGTGAATATTTCTAATGATTTCATCAAACCAATTGATTTGTTTCTCATTCTGCACATGTGATTCCAAGGTTTTAAATATTTCCATTAATGATATCTTCTCATTCTTAGATATTATTTGGATTGCGTGTAGATTGCCTTCCTGGAAGAATGTTCTATCTGCTAGCTCATCATAACTTTTTAACAGATTTTGATTGTCAATTTCAACAGTATGAATCTTTTCAGATAATCTCTCAGTACTATTTTGTAAGGTTTCATAACCCATTGACATAGGTTGAATTTTGTCTTGTCAAATTAAAGTTATCATTTTCAATGAATGAATCCTTTCAACTAAAACTGTATCATTCATAAAATTTCTCATTCTTGACTCTGTTATCAAATCATTTCTTTAAGAATATAATAAGAACCTGGTGGTGGTGGCACACACCTTTAATCCCAGTTCTTGGGAGGCAGAGGCAGGTGGATCTCTGTGAGTTCAAGACCAGCCTGTGCTACAAGAGCTAGTTCCAGGATGGGCACCAAAGCTACAGAGAAACCTTGTCTCAAAACAACACAAAACAAAACGGGGCTGAAGAGATGGCTCAGCGGTTAAGAGCATTGCCTATTCTTCCAAAAGTCCTGAGTTCAATTCTCGGCAACCACATGGTGGCTCACAACCATCTGTGATGAGGTCTGGTGTCCTCTTCTGGTCTCCAGACAGAATATTGTATACATAATAAGTAAATAAATAAATAAATAAAACAAAGGTATAATAAGAAAAACAAAGTTAATAGCTGCCATGACCACAGATATATATGTGCATATATATATCTATCTATATATAGTACAAGGTAGCTCATATAGCTCTTGCAGAATTTCATCCATAGTAGAAACAAAAAGGTTGTTAAATTCCTGGATGGTGGTATTATCTACCATTATTTTGGGTTTGTTTTACAATTTTCAAAGTTATTTATTTATTTATTAACCAAATTATCTTACCTTCGTTATAATTTTCAGAAAATTGTTGTAAGTGTAATAATCGTGATTGGCCAGCAGGTGTCGCAGTTGCAGCAGTAAGGCAGTTCCTAGATCAGTACCTCAATTACCTGACGCTTCGAAATACTAACAAATTCAGTTCATTACATAAGTTCATTACATGAGTCAGAGCTCAGCCTGATCAGAGCAGGCCTGGCAGAAACCAGAGAAGCCACAGAGTTGCTGCAAAAAGCTGCTTATTAGACGGGACCAAGCCACATCGCTATGGGCTGGTGGGAAACTGTGGCAGGTCAGCCGAGCCAAAACTTGTGCAGCTGTTCAGTAGGGTTGTAGTGCAGCTGGGTGGGGTGGGAGGAGGCCGTGGGGGTCTGGGCAGGGCCCGGCAGTGGTGTGTACTCAGGCCACATGGGCATCAATTTGTTGGCATACTAAAGAGTTCCACAATAGCCCAGAAAGGCGTATAACAAAGGTTTATTTATTTGGGGATAAACTCACAGTAGTAATCCGCAGTCCTATGGATACACTTGGAACTGGACCCGAATCTGGCAGCCAAGAGGCCTGCGTGTGTTTTTGTCTGCATTTATAGCACATGAGACCATGCCCAAAGTTGGCCAGTATCTTAAATGCTATTGGCTGAAGGAGTTCCCACAGCATGTCCCCAGAATTATGAGAACAAATCAGTGTTGAAGCTGTCCAGCCTGGGTTTGTCCAGGAAGATCTACCTACTGCACGTTGATTTAACCTCCCATGAGGCTTTTTTCCTTTTTCTGTTCCAGTGTGTGTGTGTGTGTGTGTTTCCTGGCTGCCATCACACAGCTTCTAAACGCATTTCCTACCTGGCACCCGATCAGTAAATAGTTACAGAACGACCAAATTCATCCCATTCTTTGTTTGGCCACCCTGGGGTCTGTGTTCCCATTTTCTCACCTAACAGTCTCTTGCATGGCTGGCACTGGTGGCTCAGCCACATCTCCGCATGAGGGGTGGTGGTCAGGGGCTCGGGGGTGGCTTATGGCTAGTTACTTCCAGTGGGGTGCGCCTGTCAGGTAGCCCATGACATGCTCATGCATGGCAGGCAGATGTCTGCAGCTAAGAAGGAGAAGGAGACAGCAAGGCCAAATTCATGTGGTATAGACACAAAGATGCAGAGAGCTGTGCAGCGCCCTCAAGCACGGCCTGCGGTAGGACAGAAAAACAAATCGGATTGAAAACAAAACCAGTCAGATGGTTAGATAAAGATGCTCTTGCCAAGCCTGAAGACCTGAGTTCGATTCCCTGAGTCCATGTGGTGGAAGGTGAGAACTGTTTGCTGTGGCGCGCATGTGCGCACGCACAAGAACACATTTTTAAAGGGCATTATTGTTTTTTCACTGTGGGTGTGTATGCGCGTGTGCCACAGCACATGGATGGATGTCAGACGACAACCCTTGGGGTGACTCAGTTCTCACCTCCCATCACGTGGGTGCGGGGAATGAAATCCTATCTCAAACTAAAATGAAGGACTGGAGTCATTTGCTCAGCAATGACATGTACCCAGCTGCAGGGAACCCGATGCGCTCTGTCGGTCTTGGAGGACACAACGCCCAAGTGGCTGACGCACGTGCCTCTTTAAGGAAAGAAAATACCACTAAACGTGAAAAGGGGGTCTGCTTAACGTGTTGCCAAGTAAGCTCCGGGCGAGTGGGGGGGTCCCTTCTCTGCTTTCCAGAGCCAGGCTCGGCCAGTCTGGCTTACGTCCCCCCCAACGGTGGCCAGCGGCTGCTTCACCAAAGACTCCTGTAGCCGGGAGGGAGCTCGGCTCTGCTCAGCGTCGCTCTGGATTGGCTCCAAGGCACGCTCGGTGCCGGCTGGGAAATGTAGGCAGCAGCGAGGAACGCGGCTGCCTCGTCTCCTGCCTGAGCCCTCCCCCCCCCCCCGCAAACCGGAAGTACGTCCCAGCCCTACCAGGGTCGCAGGCCGTTTACCGCCTCATCATTGGCATTTCCTCGGGGACGTGCATGTTTTCCCGTACGCTCTGCGGCAGTGGCAGGCACCAGAAGCACGTCATCACTCGGCCGACTCGCTAGCGCCCTTAAAAGCATGGTGTACAACTTCACATGATGGAACCCGTAGTCTTTCAGCGGCTACTCCCAGCTCCGATGCTCCTCGTGGCGTTCTGAGCTGGAGCCCGACCTTCTGGGACTCCTGTTAGGGCAGGAGCGCGTTTAACCGTGTTTCCCAGGGCTGCACACGCAAATGCCAGTTTAGCCTTGCAAGACAGGATTTCCACCCGCACGCTCCGGCATCACGCCCTGGGGGCGCAGTGGGCGCGGAAACGGAGCCCTTCTTGGCCGGGAGGACGCCTGCGCTTCTGCTGGCACCACCGCGCTTCCTGCCGACGATCCCGGGAAATGTCACTTCTAGGGAGCAGGGCGCGAGCCCCCTGTATAATCTCTGCCGGTGACGGTGTCTTTTGTAGAACGAGCGAGAACATGCTTCCTGCAGTCCGCCGTACACTCACTAACGGGACGTGAGTGACCGAATTTCCCAGGGTCGCACTGATCGTTGGCCTGGCCTGGCTAAATTGCCGTCCTACCGTCGGTACTGCCCACCACTTTGCCCACGGTTCCCAGCGGTTCTCCCTATGCCTTTCGGGAAATGTAGTCTTTTCTCCTCTCTCCGCACGCATCCCGGGACCTCCCGGCAGGCGATCGCTCACAGGACTCCATTTCCCAAGCATGCCTGCGCCGAGTCCGTCAGCGCCCAGTCGCGGAGGCCATTTCATTCCGCCCGGAGACCGCTAAGATGGCGGCGGGGGAGAAAGTGAAGGTTGTCTCCTGCGACAGGCGGCCCGGCTAGAGCCGGCAACGTGGCGCCCAGCATGGATCTGCACACGGCAGTGTACAATGCGGCGCACGACGGCAAACTGCAGCTGCTGCAGAAGCTGCTGGCCGGCCGCGGGCGGGAGGAGCTGGACGAGCTGCTGGGCGAGGTGGCGGGCGGCGGCACGCCGCTGCTG